GGGGGCGGGGGGGCGAGGAATCACTTTGTGTCATGGCCGGCTAAGGTCAACAAGGAAAAACGGGAATGGGAGTCAGGCTGTGTGTCCTCTTACGGCCAGGGGCGGCCTCTGTGCCCGCCCGCCCGCCCGCCCTTGCCCGCCCGCTGCTGCAGCCCTGTTATTACCCACACAGGCCAGACACAGAGCCCAAACAATCCCACGGCTTTCTCACCGAATGGTGTGCACTCTCCGTGATGGGTGAGGGGGACCCTGCTGCTCTGACAGGAGCGAGCTGAGGAGGCTCGCCGGGCCCCCTCCCGAGAGCTGGCCAGCGCCCGCTGGGCTCCTGGGCAGCCATCCTCACTGCCAAGCCATGGTGTCCCGTCCAGCTGCAAACCTCCCGCCGGCCCCACAGCGCCCCGGCAAAGCCTAGCGCCCTCGAGACGGCCACCGTCCGGGCTGACCTCTCCCTCCAAATCCTCTGGTCTGCGGAGGCCACAGGCCTTGGTGCCCCGGGGCCTTTGCATCTGCCTTCCCCCATCCCATCCACCCCCTTTCACCTTTGTTGGGCAGCGGGTCCGTTAGGTAGAAGAGCGGGAGATTACTCTCAGAGGGGAGAGGAGAAGGGGTCTGGGATGAAGAGAAAGATGTGTCTCTTCCAGGGATGGGGCGCCTCCTCTAAGCACAGTTTCTAGCCCACGAACAGCTCTCTGGCTGTTCTGACACTGTGTTCAAGGCTCTGGGGAAGTCCCACCGGCTGGCGGGAGTTTCTTGGCCCTCCTGGGTGGGGATAGCATTTCACCGTGTCACGCACGCAGGATGTCTGTCATGGATCCAGGATGAACACACCCAAGTCTAGGGTCTGGCAAATTCTTTGGAAGGATCCGGTAATGCACATCCAAGTTTTAGTCCCTGCCACACCCCTCCCCGCCTTTGGTATGAAAGCAGACACAGACTTTACTAGATAAACGGACAGGGACGTGTTCCGATAAAACTTTATTGACAAACCCAGGCAGCTGGCTGGAAGTCTGTCAGTGAAATCACCCTCAGCTCCGAGGAAGCCTCCGGAGCGGCGCGTGCGGGCGCGGAAGCGGGGCGTGATGAAATAGTTTTGTTTGATTTTTCTCTAAGTATGTTTGAATTATTAAGTGTCTGGCTCATTAGAGGAGGGAAGGGTGCTGCGATCATTCCATTGCCGGAGACAAAACTGCTATTTAAATTGAGTTTTGCCAGTTTAGCTAATTTGCTAAGTGGGCATTGCCCGTCTTAATTATTATCCTCCCAGGAGACACTGTGGGTGGATGCGCGGGATTCCCGCAGGCCGGAGGCCGTGTTCTGCTCGGGCTTGTCCGGCAGCGGGGGGCGGGGGGGCTCGCTCCCATTCCAGATTGCCCAGGACCCCCTACCTCACCAAGAAGAGGAGCCCAGCAATGCCCGCACTAAGGATGGGTGGGCGCAAGCTCCCGGCAAAGCACGGGTAACACACAGACGTCGTTCGCTGTGGTTTCCTTCCAGCTCCCCGGGCACCGGAGGGGAGCCGACCAGCTGGGAGACTTCTGATAAGTCACTTCAACCCCCCCGGCCCGGGGTACGGCCTCCCCCGATCCTGGGGTCTCCAACTCCCTCAGATCCTCAGACTGCCCTCAGCCACGCTCAGCTCTGACGCTGTGTGTGGCCAGAGTGCCGGCGCCGCCGGGTCCTGTCTCTTGAGAGGCGGACGACGGTTTGTAGCATTTTCTACCAGCCAGGCACCTGCCATGAGCTCGCTTGTAAGAATACATGGGACACAAGAAAAAACAAATGCCTTTGTAAGTGGCGTTCCTTCCTGTCGACCCGAGGGGGCGTGGGGTCTGGGCTCGCTGCGGGGTCACGCCGGCCCTGTGAGCAGTGATTGCAGGCGCGGCGTGGCAGCCGTGGCAGCCGTTTAAGGCCACGGCTGAGAGAAAGCTGCTTTCGGCCCACTCCGACGCGTAAACGTCACTTCTAATGACTATTTATCTGCAGCGTTTTTGAGATGTGACGCCTCGTGCTTCCAGAATGTCAGATTTCTGGTATTTTTAGAGAACCCATTTTTCCTGTGGAGTCGGTGTACTGTGCACGCTTTGACAGGTTTTCAGGCATGCAGTTGGGAGCTGGGATTCGAGTGTCCCGTCCGTCCCTCGTCCACCCGTCTGTCTGTCCGTTTTCTGTCTGCCCGTCTGTCTGCCTGTCCATCGAGGCCTCCCGACAAGGACCTCCACTTCCCTGCCAGCAGGCTGGGATGTGATGGGGCACTCCGGCCTGCCTGGGGCCGAGTTCCTGCCGGGCCAGTGGCAGCCATGGTTTTGGAAGCGTTTCCAGGAGAAACTCCTCCGCTTCCGTTGCTTATTTAGTTTGCCGGACTTTGATGTCTTAGCACCAAGGATGGGAATGATGGGAACAGCCGAGCCCCCACACCACCCTCCCCTAGCCCACCACAGCTGAACCACGCCACGTCCTGGCCAATGGAGTACTTTACACAGCACTGTCCGCTTTCTCAGATTGCTGTTGATTCCCAATCCAAATTAATGTCAAGTCTAAGACGGCAAAGCGGGAAACACAGGCTGCTTTATTTGCCTGGCTGCAGACGGTCCTCAAAGGTGCAGACCGCACAGGTAATAACAGAAGCACAATGGGAAGCACAGAAGCCAGAGCTGCCCAGTACGGGCCCTGTGAGCCGCAGGGTGCTGGGGCCACGCTCCCGCACTGGCTCAGCGAGGAGGGGCCCAGCGGCCAGACCTGTGTGAGGCCAGCGGGGCATCAGCTCAAGCATTCCCTGCCCGCAAGGCGGGCGCTCTACCACTTGAGCCACACACCTTCAGCGCTCTGCGCTGTTGTCCTTCTTCAAATGCGGGCTTGCTTTGTGCTGGGGCCAGCCTGGACAGCGGTCCGCCTATTTGTGCTTCCCGCACAGCTAGGATGACAGACGTGTACCACGGTGCCCAGGTTTGATTAGTTAAGATGGGGTCTCATGTACATTTCCCTCCCCTCTCTCCCCCCGCCACTGGCCTCAAACCATGAGCTTCCTGATCTCTGCCCCCTGAGTAGCAAGGGTTACAGGATTGAGCCCCTGTGCCCACGCCCCGGCGTGTGGCTACGGCAGCCCTTGTGAGTGGGCACACAGTCCGCTGCACCCGCAGCCACCGGCCCCCGGGTTGATGGGTAAATCCATTCTCGCCCATCGACTATGGCTGGTGCAGTGGAGGAAATGACGGATGGACAAGTGCGTGATGACCAACCCAGAGCCTCCGGGACAGCTGGGCACTCCGGGGGCCTGTCCACTCCTCTGCCAAGGCACAGAGCCCGGACGCCAGCCACCCCCCCCTCCCCTGCCTCCTCAGCCTGCCAGTTACAGGAAATCCAAGAAGCGCCGCCGTGGAAGGCTGGGGCAGAAGCCTGTGCACACACCTCTTCCCCCAGGATGGAGGTCGGGGTGGGGATGGGAGGGGGCGGGCACGTGGGACCGGCGATTCCCTGTTTCCCGAAGGCAGACCAAGGAGCAAAACCCTCCTCCATCGAACGCCAGGTCCGGATTAGACTAAAACGAAGCCCTGCTTTTGCCTTCTCTTCCGCCCACTCCGTGCTCAGGGTGGCGTGCTTTCTCGGCCTGGTCTGCCGTGGCCACCGGCCGCCTTTGCCCACTCGTTAGTAGAACCAGGGGCAGGGCCTGGGAGCCAGCGTGGAGCCTGTGGCCAGCGTCTGAGCTGCTTACCTGCCGGCCATGCAGAGATAGCCGGCGGGCAACCGACCCTTGCTCCCCTGGTGAGGAAGGCTCCAGCCCCTCTGCCTCCCGGGGCACAGCGGAAGGCTGGGCCGGGCCGGCCTCTCCCCACCGCTTTGCAGGGGTGGGTTGGCATTTGTGGGGGCGGCGAGGGCCGGCGTGGGGTATCTGTGTATTTATCACAGCATCGCTACCGTTTCCGGATGAGTCACAGATACTAAAGTGTTTGGGTGCTGATTTCTTTTTTGGGGGTGTGGGGTGGGAATCCTCGGAGAATGGCGACACCCCATCTCCCCAGAACATCACACGAGGGCCCTGTTCCTTTTTCTTGAGCGTTTTCCACGCTGGCTTCCAGTGTGCACACTTCGGGGGACTGGGACTTGGGGAGCCAGGGCAACGCGTGGGACTTTTCCTTTGTGCTTGGGTGTGAGGTTCAGATTGTGTCAAACAAGGACGGCATAGAAATACTGGCTCCTTCCTGCAGCCTGGCCCCTGTCCCGGGGCCTAAGAAATGGGAAACCTGGCTCAAGAGCCCGGCCATGTCACACGCACCTTCCTGAGCGCTGACCGCCGCCACTGAGGATCGCCAGCGGCCTGCCTCTCTCTCTCTCTCTGCTCACCATCTTCCCCTCCCCCTCAATACCCGCTGCTCTCCTTCTCAACGCAATCAATCCGCACCTCTCAACCTCTCCCGTCCCACCCCAGCGGCCGCTCACCCTCGGTCCCCTCACTTACAGAAACTCACTCACAGCGCGGCTCCGTAAGATAAGGGCTCCACCCCGTGGGATGCGCGGTGGGAGACTCTCACCGCGGATGCTCGTGGGGCTTGGGGACTGCCTTGTGTCCCCCGGCCCCAGCTTCCCGCGTAGCCCGGATCACCCC